TGACGCGATTGGTAAAAAACACTTTCCTCGGAAGTCGAGAAGTCAGGGTAAAGAACCGAACGTGGATATGAGCGCATGAGAGCCGCCCTTGGACAGCTTCCAACTGCTGCACTTGTGCCTCGCCGACGCGATTGGTAAAAAACCACTTTCCCTGGAAGTCGAGAAGTCGTCTTCCATTTCTTCCCATTCTAAAAAAGAATAATCCGACTATTTGTTGACTATTCACCGAGTCCTCGACGAGGAATTCCGTCGCCCGTGGCGTTTGTGGTGTGTGGTGCCCGGTTGCTCAGTGCTTGGGATGTGCTTTTCGTGAAGCCGCGGACGTACTGTCCGGAGATGCACCGCGTGCAGAAGACGAAGAAGGGCTCTGCCCGCGGGCGCCTTTGGAACCAGCTAAGCTGGGTGTTTTTTTGTCATAGACATAGGTCTCATTGAGCAGGGAATGTCAAAAGATTATCCGAGGAACGTAATGGTGTCTCAGACACGCGCGACTCGTATGATACGACAGTTAAATGTAAATTAGGGGTTTTCACAATTTGATGGGGGGAGTGTAGCGAAGTTACTCATATTCTGGCATACAGGGGTAGGTCATAGGTCGCACAAGCGTACAAAGGTGTGGATTACACAAGTCGATGTAATCACACAAATGTGTGGATACACTGTAACAAGAAGCCACCACGTGGCGGGACTGCCAGTCGTTATGCATATTAATTAGGTTTTACTAGCGAATCAGGAAAACCTAAGGTTTAATATACAAGCGGCTTTGCCGCAGATAAAACAATTAAATACAGTTTCGATTTTGAGCTGAAGAGTGTATTTGTCTTAGTTGAGATTCTGGGTACTCTTGGAGATAGCGGATTGCGATCCACTACACTAGTACTGGTTCTGGTATAGAACGTAAGGTCAGTGACCTCAGTAAGCTTCCTCTAAGCAAATCGCTACGGCAGCCCTGCTGCAGTCGTCCACGGCTTCCTTCCCGCTTGTCCAGCTTTTCTCCTGCTAGCTCGACACATCCGTTGTCGCGTTCATTGCCTGGTGGCTATTCGAGTCCTCTGTCCCGCTCATACTCTAGATGGGAGTGACACAGCTAAATATGGTCAGCATTGCGTTACGTAAGTTGGGTACAGCTGGCAAAATACTGTGTGATCACTGGTGGTTTATACAAACTGTGTCACGTTGTGGTCAAATTTTCAAAGTGTGTCACCTTTTGGAATATTCCCTAATTTTAATGCTCAGGATTTTTGTGATATTTTCTGTTTGCCGAACTTCGTAAAATCGCAAGCTTTGATTGACGAGCACAGCTTTTTTATAGCTGGGCCAATAATTATTGAAATATCCTTCCATTCTCGTAACACGAAGCAACCACCACCACAACACCATCAACTATTCCAACTTGCGCTTGTAAACCTCGTCTTGATTTTAGTGCTAAAAACTGACGCGTTTGCGGAATGCTTTTGATCGACACCATACGAGTGTACATCATACAGAACGCAAATTTATAAATGTACTGATTACATCACTACAAATGCCTTTGTTCGGTTATGAAATCAGGAAACATTACACGTCAAGATTGATTTGAATGAATTAGTGCATGCAAACCAGAATACGTGTGCTACAGTATCCGAGGGTTGTGGCTGGGACGTTCAAGAGACGATGAGCTATCAATCAATTTCCATAGCAGCACACTGGGAATGATCACAGTAGTAAGTGGGCATCCTGATCATGCATAAATTGCTGGTCAAGTGATTGGTGATGAAAATAACGGACCCAAAGTTGCGTCAAATATTGTTCCTTACGTGAAACTCAAAGTCTGTGTCGGTTAAGCTGTATCAATAAGCTTTTTAATCGCATAAACGATGAGCCATCCTCGTGTTGCATTCTTGACACAGAACTTCTGGACTGAGATGTGCAGACGCCTGATCATTCATCATCACTTGCGAGCTTGCGAGACTTAAAATCTCCTCGAGGGCTCCGATTCAATCCCTCGGTGACACACTCATGTAACACAATACGATATACCAGGTGTCAGATCAGTCTTGCGCCGAGCTCGACGGTCTGGCGATGAAGCTTTTGCAACGCAATTCGTCGTCCAGGACGACGCGCAACCACGACGGGATAATAAGTGACACTGGGTCTGGGACAGAAAATCTATATCCGGTCATGTAAAGTTTTATAATCCGTTAGAACGCTCGAGCAAGACATTGCACGTGGAACTTGATGTGTATCGCCGAAACTGTGTTGTATGGTGACTTCGCTCATAAAAATGCTGTGGCCTTTTGAAAAAACAGTAGTACTTTAGCACGAGAGAAGTAAAAGCATCACGTAACCCAAAAATGCTTCGAAGGTGAGCAATCCGGCATTTTGTCACGATGCAGTCTTTTTCATTCCATTAATGCGTACAGCAGAGACATCCATCACTTTTTAAGAGTCAGATAAAGAGGAAAAATGACTTGCACCGTTTTTCGTGTCTGACATCTGCCATATTCAAGAACTTTTTAAGTTTGGTTGAATCGAAAAAATTGGAATATGTTGTGTTAATGGTATCCACGTTGTGGATCGTGTGGATCACTCCCCCGTGTGGATCATTTCCCCGTGTGGATCATACCTCGGGTGTGTGCCGCCACACACTGCGGTGTGGAAATCATCTCTTAAAAGGGTACATCGATGCTGGAACTGTTGGTCAGAGATCCCACCAGATGAGAGGATAAATTATAATAGACCTTCAACACCAGTAATGCTCCCACAATATGGATGCATCGATTTCCGACACATCGAACACTTGTGGGCATTTCCTACAAACTTGGAGTACCCATCACAGCGGCTAATGGTTCATGGTAACGTCTGTGGGAAAATGAAACCGAAGATTCGTCAATGAGGTTTATTGAATTGCTGCGGCAGTGTGCAAGAGGGGGCGTTTTGGGTTGGGCTGCATCAAGAGGAATGATTCACCTAGGGCACCATTTATACCTCCATCTACACACAACAAATGTACGAAGCTCAATCCTAATATTCACGGATAACTTTCATTAAGAGCGACGCTTAGATTTCCGGACGAAGTTGACTTTTAAAAAACAACAATGTTTGTAATGAAAAGCAGAAACGCATAACTCACGAGACTTTCTGGTGGGATCCAATGAAGACCGGCTGAGCGAAGCCTCAAGTAGCAACTTAAAGTAATCGTCACCGTCCATAAACGAAGATTTCTTCTGATCTACAATACAGAAAGAACTACTGGCTTACGATGTAAGAAATCAGGCCGAAACTGTCGAGTCCTTCATTGTGAGTGTGATTGTATTCTATTTAGACAAATTATCTGAGATAGCAGGCAATATAAGTATCTAATATTTATACTGACGTGTTCATCATATGTATAATCATCATAAGGCTGAGAAGAGATTCAAGCTTTCGTTACGAAATCATTGTCTGCCAGAAACCTTAAAAGCCAAGACGACAAACTTGCCACCGATACTTTATCTGCTAAAAAGGCATTAAAAGGATTGAGGTGATGCTGACCGTAAAATTGATCAACGTGAAAATGAGCCATTGTGAGCCTTACGTCTGCCCTTCTTCAAAATGCCTTCAATCGAAGGATTACTCTAACTTTCTCATGTTGCCGCATATTCTTTCGCATGCGCCATGCACCATCCTTTGCGTTGTGCCCACTTGGAACACTTCTCATACTTGCATCTGACGCCACCGCCGTGAGTACGGCACAAATGTTTCAGATGCGCCTTCTTGTTGCAGCACTCGACAGCACAGAACTCACCTCCACCGTGAGATTTACACAAACCCTTCGACTGCGCTGCACGCACGCAACCTTCTCTCTTACAGCGAGAGCCACCACCATGTGCTATGCAAAGTCCGCGGCTCTGGCTATTCTTTGTGCAGCCTTCAAACACCCACTGGTGTGCTCCACTATGTTTCTTACATTTTTGATGCGATCAAGCTCGGTTTTGACAGCCTGAAACTCATACGAGGACGTTTTATTCGATCTGGTGCATTGGATGACGACGAACTTATATCTAAATGAGTTGCACATGTATCCAATTCGAATGAGACCTCGGTTTTTTTAGCGGGTTTCAGTCATGTTTGCCCAGTATGATGAGCTTCTAGTGATGGCACACCTGCATGCTTGAAAGCGATCGTTAAATTCTTCAGACCAGTCAACATCCCGCTATCGACCGGTGACGCAGCATGCGCTTCATCGCAAAATCCTCGATGTCTCGCATTAGGACGTGCTAAATTACTATCGAGCTGTGAATCACAGTTTCGTCTGACAACAAGCCCTGTGGTTGCAAAAGCGGTCGCAGAAGTCAGCAGCCGTTCTAGCTGTTGCTCTCTCGACATCACCTTTAAACTACCATTTTCATCAAACTAGGATCCGTTGACGTGCCAAGTGGCGTCGTTGGGGATGCCCTACTGTCTGTCCTCCACTCAATATGAATCTTCTTAACTGAATGCCGGAAACTGCAGAATAGGCCAGTTTAAGTTCATCATCCGTTGTCATGTATCGTAGCAACTGAGTCGCTTGTAGATGTCCCTGAGTTGCCTCGCTGAAAGATTCATATTCCACAATCCCATGCCACTACCAGGAGTCACCCAAAGTGGGTAAATTGTCGAATCGTAGCTGGGTACTCGCAAAATTCCATGTTCGCATTTATGTTGGAAGTCCACGTTGAGGCTTTGAGTTACAATTTTGTCTATGGACAACAATTTATCTTAGGACGGTCGGGAACTGGTAAACTACAACGCGCGATATTCAGATCCAACAGCAGTATAAACATCAGTGTTACTATTGCTGCGCTCGAAGCAATGCCAAAAAATAAGGGGCTGCATTCAGAAAGTTACTGTAGATACTGAATCTTTGTGACGAAAATGCAAAGCTGTCTTAACCTGTGGAGACTTGCTTTTTGATACGGTAGATGCATCGCATCACGACCGCTTTAATAAAAGCGCAAACTACTAAGTGCAAATTATACAAACATCTCGCATTATTACGATTAAACTTTTACTTGATCTGAATAAGCTGAAAGAATACGCCTCACTTGCGAAGTCTCGAATCCTGCGTACTCGAGAATTGTTGCCATCTGAATGCGAGGAATTTCAAGCGAATCCCAATCTTTTAGGAGCTGTAACAAGCTGTTCGGGATCGAATCTGGTAATTCTCGATCCAACTTTAGTTTTGGATATCGTTTAAATAGTTGATAAGCGGAATTGATTTGGTCAAAAACTGAAAGTTCGGGAAACTGCAAAACGGCTGTTTTGGCGTAGACTACGATGTCGTAACTGGAAATTACACTCGACAGTTCATCTTCTTGTAACCCAGCACGACGAAGTGTATAAGCGATCTGTTTTCGTGATATGCCCCGAAGAGCCCAGCTAGTCATCACTTCCATCCAGTCCTTTTTGGTGCGATCTAGCTTGGAAGGCAGTGTGGAACTTTTTCCAATCTGAACGAGTTTATCAGCGATACTAATGTCGGCGTCCGTGATAACACTCGAAATCTGACCCTTGTAGGTGTTTGGTGGATGTGATGAACTCACCTTCACTCCTGCGCTCACGTTCTCCTCTAGACTTAGGTAAATGTTGACAGCCTTTAAAATTTCGATCTTATTCAACCCAGCAGCTTCAAGGGTTTGTTGTAGACGCTTGATGGAGTAGTTGCGCATTTTCCAGTTCGTCAAAACATGTTTCCATTGTTGTTCGAGGTCAGGCGAATCAAGGCGCATCACTTGGTCACCATCCGGAGAGCGAATTTTAAGTGTGCGGAGTGATTTGATTGCAGCAACATCTTCTTCGATGATAAAGCTGGGCGGAAGATAAGCCGTATCGACGTTTGGAAGCGAAACTTGCTTCGAGGGAAAAAGGGGGGTCGAAACGACTTTGGCGGTGGCAGGCGGCGACCTGACTTATGTGCCTCACTCACCACAACCAACATCTTTTCATAAATTCTCAAGAGCTTGTTTATCTCATTCGACTGGAATTTAGCTACTCGTAGTGCGAACTCCACCCGAATCGGCGAATAGTTAAGTTCTTTCCAGAGTTTCAAGAAATTAAGAGCTTCGATTCCATCGTGTCCAGGCTGACCGAGAGATTGGCGTTGTCTTGATGCATTGATAGCATTAATAATGACTTGGATGTCCTTGTGAATAGGAACTTGAGGCGACTTGCGCTCAACTTTCATTGACTTGGACGCTGGAACAAGATACTTCTTCCCTATGCTTAGGATTTCCCGCGGTTTACTTCCCGCGACCCTCTCTTCACCATCAATCGCGTTCTTTCGAAATTCTGGTACTTGAGTTTCATGCGCCTTCGGTTGGCGATGGTTTTGATCACCTTTGTGGTTATCATCGTTATGAAGAGTCTGGGCGGTTATGTTGTACGGCGCTGTTGCGACAGCGTTTGTGCGGACAGGTTGAAGTGAAGTAGCAAGAAGACACGACAAGATAGAGACGTCTAGTATACGCATGAGGTACTTTGAGTAAAGATCAAATGCGAGAATGAGGCCACGTAAGCTAAGACACTGAGATGGTAAAGCAAACACACTTTAGTTTCAGTATTTAAGGTAGCGATACGAAGCATGATATGAAGGAAACTGACTACTCTTGATCGGAAAAGTTTGAAGTGACCAGCTCGAGATAAATTGGACGAATCAGGTTCCGAGGATAAAGGCTGACTCTGGTGCCATGTGGTTGCTGTGCACAAAGCTTTGAGCAAATGAACCAGTATTCATAATGGGCAGAGGATGGGCTCAACTAAGCGGAATAGCTTGAGTCTTATTCAATCTTATTCTATCACACTAAATACAGTCACACTTGTACACGTACTTCACAATAGTACACTCCGTGTGGATCATCCCCCAGTCGTGTGAATCATTCCTCCGTGAGGATCATACCCCGGGTGGATGCCACAGGACTACAGAGTTCGCTTTTATGCGATAATTACCCTCAAATATTAAATCTAATCCGTCGTGCTCTCTCAGAATCGAAATGTATTCTTTTCCCATCATTTCCTCACAAGATGGCATGTTCGCCAAGAATATGGCCTCTACCCGATCTCTTTGAGAAGATAGTACTTGAATACTTGAAGTTTATCTATTTTCTTAGTTTTTACACGTCGTATGTTCAGCAGCTGATTTCTTAGAAAAATATGATTAATATCGCTAATGAAGTATTAAGAGTATCTGTTATAGGTGGCTTTGTAGTCTCAAATGCCGAGGACAGGGTGCAATATGCGGTCAGAAAACAAATTCTGCAATATTCAATGTTTCGTCGACAATACCGAGATTAATTGATATTCTGCGGTAGTGTGCAAGAAGGAACGTTCTGGTCTAGGCTGCATCAATAGGGACGATACTCACAGGGTATCATCCACAATTGGGAGTGTACGACACACTCCTGCACGAAAAGTTTTGTAGCTTTGTGTAAGCGAATGATGCTTTGTGTAAGCGAATGATTAGAGGTTTCGGGGAAGAACCGCATAGATTGTACGTACCCCTCTGGATCTAACAAAAAAATTCAGCACCATGTGACGAAAACAATCCAGCTGCTATCTGGTCGGTGCCTTCATCAGATTAATCTTAATATTTAGCAAGGTGGCATGGTGTTGAATCTGATACTACGTTTTGACTTTATCATTAAAGGATTAGTGGCGTTATATTCGATTCAAAATGCTTTGATCATTTCCACACACGCTCTGACTTGACGAATAAATG